CGGCGCGACCCCCACCGCGGCCCCAGAGACCCCCGCCCCGCCGACGCGGGAGACTTGCTACTTCCTCAACGCCACTATCCTATTCCTGTTCCGGGAGTTGCGGGACACCGCGCTGACCCGCCGCTGGGTCACCAAGAAGATCAAGGTGGAGTTCGAGGAGCTGCTGCAGACCAAGACGGCCGGGCGCCTGCTGGAGGGGCTGAGCCTGCGGGACGTGTTCCTGGGCGAGACGGTGCCCTTCATCAAGACCATCCGGCTCATCCGGCCCGTCGTGCCCTCGGCCACCGGGGAGCCCGACGGCCCCGAAGGGGAGGCGCTGCCCGCCGCCTGCCCCGAGGAGCTGGCCTTCGAGGCGGAGGTGGAGTACAACGGGGGCTTCCACCTGGCCATCGACGTGGACCTGGTCTTTGGCAAGTCCGCCTACTTGTTTGTCAAGCTGTCCCGCGTGGTGGGGAGGCTGCGCTTGGTCTTCACGCGCGTGCCCTTCACCCACTGGTTCTTCTCCTTCGTGGAGGACCCGCTGATCGACTTCGAGGTGCGCTCCCAGTTTGAAGGGCGGCCCATGCCCCAGCTCACCTCCATCATCGTCAACCAGCTCAAGAAGATCATCAAGCGCAAGCACACCCTGCCGAGCTACAAGATCAGGTGAGCGCGAGGTCGGGGAGGGGGCCTGGCTGCCGGGAACCCCGGCCTGGGCGGGACGCTGCTGGCTGCGTGGATTGGGAAGGGCAAAGGCTCTTTTCTGTCCTGGCTTCTGCTTCTGGGGTCTTCCCATCCTGGACAGGGCCCCAGATCAAGGCGAGTAGTGAACACTGACTTTGCTTCCGAACGGCACTGATAGGAGGTAGAAACCTTTTCGCGTGTTCATGGGGACTCAAGGTGCTGTCAACGCGGGCAGAATCGTCTCCTTTTATAAGCAGCATATTGGAAATGGAAGGGAAGCCTGCCCTAATCCCCAGGAGTCGCTTCTGGGACTGTTGAGAAACTCTCCCTCTCTGTGGTTGCTGCATTGAGGGCAGCCGCGTCACTGGCTTTGCAGCATCACCTTGGCCGCGTTGAGAAATTGTTCCTGGACACAGTACACGCGTGAAGGGTGTGCTTATAGCCCAGGTCTGTGCTCATTTGCCATTGCAAGCCACTTTGGCTTTGATGGTTTGACACCTTTCAAGGCAGAGGTGGTAGTCTTGCAAAGGAATCCTTTTGTGGGTTTTTTTTTTTTTTGGTTTGTTTTTGTTTTTGAGACAGTCTCGCGGCAGGCTGGAGTGCAGTGGCGCAATCTCGGCTCACTGCAACCTTTGCCTCCCTGGTTCGAGCGATTCTCCTGCCTCGGCCTCCCAAGTAGCTGGGGTTACAGGCGCATGGCACCACGCCCGGCTGAATTTTGTGTGTGTGTGTGTGTGTGTGTGCCCGGCTGAATTTTGTGTGTGTGTGTGTGTGTGTGTTTTAGTAGAGATGGGGCCAGGCTGGTTTCGAACTCCTGACCTCAAGTAATCCGCCCGCTTCGGACTCCCAAGGTGTTAGGATTACAGGAGTGAGCCACCGCGCCCGGCCCAGGAATACTTTCCATAGCAGATGGGAAAGGAGTTGGAAGCCGGTACATAGTGTACTTTACATTTTGTATTAATGTCATTTGCCCATTTTGGGTAGATTGTAGAACACAGATCCAGACTCGGCCCATCAAGCATTTACTCTCTGTGACTGTAAGTTCCTCTCTCAAAGGACCTGAAATCACTGTGCAAATTGTATTTTAATGCTGGGTAGTGATTTTAATTTTTTTTAAGCCCTCCGGCGTCTGATGGCTTAAAGTTTGTAGTATACAGTTTTGAGTAGTATATAAATTTTGTTTTAATATTGTAGGAGTGGAAGGGGAAAGACTTTTTTAGGGCTAGAGGCGGAGTGGAAGGTGCTGTTTGGCTCTTTTGTAAAAAGCTGAATTTTTAATTTCTCTTTCTGTCCTCCTTTAATTTTGTATTCACTAACACATTTGAGCCTTTAAAATTTTGCCCTTTGTTATAAAATTAAGTCAGTCTTGTATTTTACTTACCTAATTTTACTTGCCTTTTAGTGGAAGTTGCCTATTTCTGGATCACCAATTTTCTACCAGTGTCAATTTTCAGGAGCAAGATAGTCCAGAAATATTTTGGGTTTGGAATGGATTATTGGCTTGTGTTTGTGGCAGATGTACCTTACCAATTACGTTTTGTTTAGGCTAACAGCACAGAGTGACAGCTTAAAACTTCGGTGGCAGGAGAAATTTACTTTGTAATGGAAATATTTCCATAGATTTATGGAGGGTGGTGAACTGGTGGTTCACTGTGGTTGATTTCTGGTTCTATGAAGTAGAACATACTTTATGAAACCTACTTTTAATCTCTGGAATATCAGTGACTAAATTATAACTGGGTTCTAGTGTTTAAGCAGCGAGAGATGTTTGTTTATAGCAGTGTGTTACCAAAAAAGTCGTGAGAAAAAGTTGCTAGATATTTTGGTATTCTATCACAACTTCAATTATGCTGTTTTCTGGTAGCTTTCAGTTAATACAATTTGACTAGATTATTATTTTGAAATTTGTAGAATAGCCAGTGACAGTGAGGTTACATATCATTTTGAGTTTTTTTTTTAATGTAGACTTGGAATTTAGGTAAATCTGAAATAAGTTATGAATAAGTTACAGAGGCATTGAGAAGTTTATTACTTTGAAAAACTATGATCTGTATCATTGAATAACAGTCATTTAAAAGTATGCCAAACTGCTTTTCACTTATATCTGAAGGGGTTGTTTTAAAAGCACAGCATGAATTTGGTTATGATATTTCAACTTCTAAACGTGAAGCATTAAATGATAATTTCCAGAAGTACACACATCTGTGCTATTTATACTAGATGGCATCTCAATGCTCAGTCAGCTGCACAGAGCGTATCACTCAATCTGTAAATGTTTGTTGTACACCTGCTATATGCTTTTCCTTGTTGTAGGTGCTGGGATTTCAGTACTGAACAATACTTGAACTCAGCCCTCAAGAAGCTTAGAGTCTAGTGAGAATTGAATTAGCTATACTTAGTAATTTTTTTGTGTTTTTTGTTTGTTTGTTGAGACAGGATTTTGTTCTATTGCCCAGAGCTGGAGTACAGTGGCAGGATCGCGGTTCACAGCAGCTTCGACCTCCTGAGCTCAAGCAATCCTCCCATCTCAACCTTCCAAGTAGTTGGGACCACAGGTGTGCATCACCACGCCTGGCTAATTAAAAAAAAATTTTTTTTGTAGAGATGGGTCTTGCTTTGTTGCCCAGGCTAGTCTGGAACTCCTGGGTTCATTTAACTGATCCTCCCACCTCAGCCTCCCAAAGTGCTGGGATTACAGGTGTTAGCCACCTTGCCCAGCCCTTTGTAAGATTTAAACTAGAGTGGGATTGATGGGGTTGAAGTAATTAGGAAGCTGGTTCTAGCTTAGTAGAAGAAAATAACAAGTATGACGATGATAAGGGCTGCCTCAGCAAGTGTTGACTTCTTGTCTGTGTAGCTGTTCTGTCCAGTGTTTTAAACTGGTTATGGGCCAGGTGCAGTGGCTCACACCTGTAATCCCAGCACTTTGCGAGGCTGCCACAGGCAGATAACTTGAGGTCAAGAGTGTGAGACCAGCCTAGCCAACATGGTGAAATCCCGTCTCTAGTAAAAATACAAAAGTTAGCTGGGCATGGTGGCGGGCGCCTGTAATCCCAGCTACTCTGGAGGCTGAGGCAGGAGAATGGCTTGAACCTGGGAGCAGAGGTTGCAGTGAGCCGAGTTGGCACCACTGCACTCCAGCCTGGGCAACAGAGTGAGACACCGTCTCCAAAATAAATAAGTAAATAAATAAATAAACAAACAGGTGATGGTGTGGAACTGATTCAAGTTTCAGATAAGAGAATGAATTACAATACATCTAAGATATAGCATACTTCTCATAGGGAAAATTAAACTAGCTAGTGTTCATCTTTTTTTGCAGATGAGGAAATGGAGCTCAGAGTAGTTAAATAACTTGCTTAAAGTCACACAGCTTTCAAGTGGTGAAACCCAGCTCTGATAAGGCCAGGCCACCTTTAAAAACACACACACACACACACACACAAAGACACAAACTATTGTTTTTAAGTGATTCTTTTTTAAAGCGTGCCATCGATATAATATGTGGGATATCTTTCCAAACTAACCTAGAACTCTTGAGAAGAGTATGACTATAAAGCTGATTTTTTTCTTAAATTGGTCATTTTAGAGGATCCTTTTAAAAGTAAATCATGAGGCTCTTTGGGTACTGTCCCACATAGCATTTCTTTTTTAATTGAGCAGATTGTGTTTCCAAATAGAAGGTCTTGCTATTTTTTCCTTCTTAGTGTTTTTTTGTTTGTTTGTTTTTGTTTTTATTTGAGATGGAGTCTCGTTGTGTCACCCAGGCTGGAGTGCAGTGACACAATCTTGGCTCACTGCAACCTCCACCTCCTAGGTTCAAGCAATTCTCCTGCCTCAGCCTCCTGAGTAGCTGGGATTACAGGCATGTGCTACCACACCCGGCTAATTTTTGTATCTTAAGTAGAGACGGGTTTCACCATGTTGTTCAGGCTGGTTTCAAACTCCTGACTTCAGGCAATCTGCCCACCTTGGCCTCCCAAAGTGCTGGGATTGCATATGTGAGCCACTGTGACCAGCCTAGTTTATTCTTTTTTAGCTGTCTAATCTTCTTAGTAGAGCTAAAGCAGTAAAGAGAATTGTATGGAGTCTTAGGATCCTTTGGCATTTGTAATCATTATGTAACAGAAATATCTTGCCAGTTAACATTGTTGTTACTTCTTTCCCCCTTTATTTATTTTGCCTTTTTCGTTTGCTAAAGTGAAGCAGCCTGTCTGGACTGCCAGTTCCTGATGTTTCACCTAGAGATGCTAAGTTGCTCAAGTGGTTGCTTTCTAAGGACCCAGCTGATTGACACTTCATTTTGCCCAAATTAACAAACTTAGAATGTTTGTAAAACATTTTATTTTACAAAATGAATTATAATATGTAGACAATATGTTTACAGATTTATTCAAGTTTGGAATTTCATTCATCCACCTCAGTGTTAATTGTTTTGATTTTTTTATTAAAATACTTTAGTATATTATAATAGTAATATTTTTTAAAATATGAACCTCAGAATCCATCCTCAAGGGAGAAAGATTACCACTAATGTTCTTTTACTACATGGATAATTCATGTTCAACATGAAGTCTGAGTAATAGTCTCTGGGTGGGGAGCTGTGTTTAGGGTTTAGGAGTTAGATATTTGAGATTCTTACTGATGCTTCTGTTCCTGGAGTATTACTGTACGCAGATGAGCAGATTCAGTTTGCAGGTACTTTTTATTTGGCCTGCGCTGTTTAAAAAATGGAAGATTCTGTGTGATTTGGATTTGTGGCTTCTGTTAGGAAAAATTGGAATATCTTGTAGCGCCAGTTCTGCATTTCTCAGAGCAATAACAGGATAGAGAGATGGACTGTAGTAGCAGCTTTGGGGTTGAAACTCAGTGTGTAAGCTCCTAGGTGGACAGCAAATATAGTCCCCCCTTATTTGCTGTGCTTAACTGATGGTACTTGCCTGGCCTGGAATAATATGAATTTGAGACTCTTACTGGAGGAG